TCGCTCGCAAGTGTCACTGTAAATAGGTCGTTTGCATGTGTAAGTGATGTTTTCTTTTTCTTAATAAAAATATTTATAAATCTTCATTTCAAATTTTAACACGGTCATTTCAATTTGTTAAAAATTATTTAAGTAATGACATAATTTTTATGATTTTTTGATTTAAACTTTTAATTAGTAATATGTTAGTTAAAAATTGTATTTTATTAAGCTAAATTGAGTGTTTGTATTAGATATTAACTTGTCGGGATTTTGGACAGTCGGGATTTCGACCCTGTCGCGATTCTGGACACTCGGGATTCTGACCCTGTCGGGATTTTGACCTTGTCGGGATTTCGACCGTGTCGGGACTTTGGGTTGTCAGGATTTCGGCCCTGTCGGGGTTCTAGACAGTCGGGATTCTGGCTTGTCGGGATTTCGGCTGTCGGTATTATGACCCAGACCCTTGAAATTTATCTTCAATTTCTTGATGCTCAGAATGTGAAGTACTATATTAAAAAAGATTCTGAATGGAGTCTTTTTTTTTCAATCACATATCTATCACTTGTCAATATAGTTTAGCACAGAATTTTTCTGAATGTATAAAAGGAAATTAAGTTAGCTATCTCTCTCTAAACCTACACAAATCTTGAATTTAAGATTGCAGCTTTATTGCATTTGGTATTTTATTGTTTGAAATAAATAAAAATATATTGAGTCATCTGGAAAGATCTGCATTTTTTCAAATCAAAAAAATGTTTTCCTCTAATTGTTTTATTACTGCTGAAAATGAGTTGTTTAAATGCAGTCTCTCCTGCTCACTTTGCATAATTCTAGCATGTGTTATGGTGTAATTTTTGTTTCAGTGTAGTGCTAAGAATACAAAGAATGAAGACCATGAAAGTTCATTTTCATCATATTACGTTCTTTTATTTTTTAAAAAGAAAATTTCTAGTTAAACTGTTCATAAAATGTTTACTATATATGGACAAAATGCTGTTTCTGGTGGCTGAGTTTGAATGTGGTTTTAAAAGTTAAAGCATGGAAACTTAAGCCTCGGAAATAATGCCTACTCTGGATTACTACCCTTTGTAAACAAGGGCTCATTAAAAGAAACTATCACTAAAAATTCTCATTATACAGTTCAGGTACTATCAGACAGACTAAATATTCCAGAAAAATGTAGTACATGATCATTTAAAGAAGAATGTGTGTGTAAGCTATTATCAGGTATGGGTATTAAATAATGTAATGGAACAAAATATGCTTGCTCCGTATGAAAAGTTTTGGCACATAATTCTTTTCTTTTTTAAAAAAAAGAAGCTCATTTTTTGAAACAGTTGATTACTAGAGGTGAGAGTGGATAGTATACAGTAATATTATTACAAGAAAAACGATCATGATGCTAACCAAAAGAACTTTTAGTAGCATTGAGAGAGAGAGTAATGCTGTGTATATTGTGGGACTAAAAAGGAAAAGTATACTATGAACTACTGGTGCCAAATCAGACAATAAATTGAGAAAAATAATATTCCTGAATGGCAGTTTTAATATCAGAAATTGAAACAAAGTGCTCAGAACTGACCAATTGTCTAGGTGTTGTCTTCCATCACAGCTGTGCTTGGTCACTTATTTCAATGAATGTCAGATAAAACTTATTGAGTATGACTGGGATATCATTTTTGTCATCTCCCGTATTCACTAGACCATTGACCTTGCTTCTCTATCCATGTCACTTCAAAATTCTCTGAAAGGTCTAAAGTTCATGAAAACACTGCAGAACATTCCAGAAGACCCAATATTAATAAAATTAACTGCAGTTTTTTACAGCTTGGAAAAATATTATTTTTCTTTAAGTAATTAAAAATGTATAAGTAATTAAAATATATCAAAGTAAATAAAATATACATAATATGATAATTAAAATTGAAGTAAACACATATGATGAATACTTTCCTGTATCTCATGATGCATCTGTACCATAAAAAAAGAAAGTTTAATAACTTGGTCATTTAAATAAACTTATACCCTATGCTATTTTAATTTTCTGATAAGCATGCTAGATATCAGTATGAGGTTTATACTTTTGAAATGACTAAATTACTGATGTGTAAACTGTAGTCTGGATGTAGTGTGGGACCAAAATATGATTATGGTCTAAATTTAAATTGGCAGTCAAGACATATGTCAAAGGTAAATTATTACTCTGAAAATTATTACTGCCTGTTAGGATTGAGATAGAGGAAAGTAAGTAACAATTTTTAGAAATGGGAAAGAAAAAATTAATGTTTTTCTTTCTATATAGGAAATAAATGAAAATTCATTAAAACAACTCAATTTTTATTTGGAAACTGTTCTAAAGAATTTGCCTACAAATCCAACTTCTGTTACCTTTTGTTTGAAAAGTGGAGTGCAGAAAGTTGACAGTACTAGTAAGAATAATTATTTTCATTATTGTTATTATTATTATCCTGAGATTAATTGTCAATTTTAGTTGTTTTTTATACATTACCACCATTTGCCTCATTTTATTAGGATAACAGATAAGATGAAATACAAGTCTGAACATTTTTATGTTTTAGGTCATTAATTGCAATATGTTTTGTTTGGGACTAGGGAAAGTTTGTATCCTTTCTGCGTTTCCTGTCAAAATTAGATATTTGCATAGCAACGCAGCCAACTTGTTTGGCCAGTAAAAAAAAAAAAAAAAAAAAAAAAAAAAACTTCTTAAAATTTAAAAAATATTTAATAATACCTGGTATTACATACATACTTTATGTTTTAATTAGGGTAAACATTCTTGTGAGTAGGTTTCAGTTTTTTTTTTTTTTTTTGGATCGGGTGGAAATTTAGTAGCCATGGCTTTAAAAACAGTTTCATAGTACTAGTTGCTGGTAATTTTAAGACAAAATACAAATTTGTCTAGAAGTTTTACTGCAGGTCCTTTCATTGTGCTCAATCTCTCAAGCACATATTTTAAAAATTTAGTTTGAGGCAAAAATTATGAGAATTTATATATAAAAAAAGGTTGAAACTTGGAATGGAGGGGGGAGCATTATTGCTTGTGACTGCAGAACAACAAACTGTCAATAAACTGAAGAATTGTTATGTGTGTGATTGCTAAAATTTTGTGACTTTTATGAAAAGTGATTGTACTAACACTTAAATCTACAAAATTATTTCCAAAGCTGTTAGTGTTATTTTTGTCGCTAAAAAGAATAATTGTGGTATGTTTTCATACTGCAGTTGTTTCTTAATAATGCATAGAATAGTATAGATAGAATATTTTTGTCTGAATCTTTCTTTTCGTTCTCATCAGTATCAATTGCTTATTCAAAATACTCTTATTTTTCTCAATATACTTTCAATTGACTCAGGTTTCAAAGTAAAAACATACCTTATGATTACAGTCAAAAGTCGTTAATTCGGACACCCATAAGCCGGAACGATCTATAATCCGGACCTCAAAGCTACAAACTTTCTGCACATTCGTTGCGTTCACGCATGCGCGTAAGACCTTTATGGCTGCGCATATGTGTGTGTGCAAGCGCATAATACATTTACGCATGCGCGTTTAATGTATAACGAACAGTATAAGCTAAAATTATCTAATTATCTATTTCAGTTAATGTGCAGATTGCGTTTCCTTAATCTTCGAATTGGATCCGGCTTATTATTTTTTTGCAGACTGTTAGGCAATTTTATAAAAGGAAGCTTGAACTTTCGATTATGTCAAATAGAATTTCTGATGCTGGAGTCCCAAAGGATCTACAAAGCTAAAGTTGTTTCGATGCCATCAAACAAAAGTGGAATGCTGCAAAAAGGGATAACGGCATGAGAAAGTGACAGAGAGGTTAGTGAAAATGAAAAAATTTTGAATGACAAGTTTCGTATTATCTCGGCACAGCATTACAGGATTTGAACAGGGGAACTTTGTAACTGAACAAGAATTATGTTGTTTATATAGAATTAAAGAGAAATTATAGCACATAAAAAACTATTTAAACACTTACATTGAAGAAATGTTTAATAAAGAAACAATAAATTAAGCTTTTTTTGTAAATTTTGATACCCTTTAGATCATATTGTTCTTTATTTCATAAATTACGGTTTCACATTTTTAATTTTATAATTTCTGTTTACCATCTTACCAGATTTAAACTGATGATCTATAATCCGGAAAAATCGATAATCCAGAATCGCCGAAGTCCCGACGAGACCAGATTAACGACTTTTGACTGTTCTATTTTTAATTCATGATATATTTCAGATAAATCTGACTGATCATTCTGCCATTTGATGCAAGTGGGTTAGTATGCTTATGCATTTCATTATTAATTTATCGCTTTCAATTTCAGGAAAAGTTATTGAATATTCACACATTCATAAAACATTTTCCTTGTTATTATATACCAAAACACTCTGTTTGATAAATTATTTGAAATTTGAAAATCTAAAAGACCCATGATTAACCTTTTATAGTAAATTGTTAAATATCTTTTGATGAATAAAGTAAAGAAGTGCGAGCCTAACAAATATAGCACATATAAAAAATTGAGTCATTTTGTGCAGGTTGTGGAAGTTAAATATGCTTATTGCAGGCATAAATTATATGAAATTTTATTAGTTGATTGCTTTTTATAATTAATTATTATAACTAATATCCTATTTATTACTTCACAGAGTGATATATCATATAAACTGAACTCCTCTAATTTTGGATGTGTTTACTGTAATTCTTTACTTAATTTTATATAAATGAATTATCAGTGATAAGTATAAATGTACATATATATATATATTTATATTTCAGTAACTAAATTAATATACTTTGAAATGTTCACTTTGAAATTAAGATACTTTGAAATGTTAACAGAAAATTCTTCTTCCTGATGATACTAATCATAATAATAATTAAATGATAATTAAAAAAAATAAAATAGAAAAATTTAAATCTGCTCTTTTGATTCTTAAAGCTAAATAATTGGACATTCTGCAATCTAGTTTCAATCTAGTGTAATCTGTTCAATATTTCTAAAGGTGAATGCTGTTGTTTTCGTTATGTTATTAAGTAAAAAACTGTATCCTAACAAAACCAGAAATTGTTGCCATTTTGCGTGCATAAAATCTAAATTATCATTAATTATTTAAGTTCTAAATTTATAAAACATAAATCTGTGCAGTGTAATTTTAAAATATCCTTCACAATAATGTTTTGATTTCTTTAGATGATGATAACGTTTAGTGCGAGTTTTGCCCATATAAAATCTTTTTAATAGCTTGATTAATTTTATTCCAAAACCTATTATGCTATGTTGCTTTATTCCTTGAAAAATTGGGTTATTGCAGACAAAATGTGTTATATCCAACTTTTATTTTTCTTTTAGATAAAAAGTCTATTCAAGGCGTTGAATTGGAACCTGACTATAAAATTAAAATTGCAAGATTTTGTAATTGTTTTTGTGTATCTATTTTATATCCCCCCTTTTTTTGTATATAGGTGTTTCTTTCAAGCAGGTAAACATACAGTTACTTGGCAAAGATCTCCATCGGGTTCTCTACAATATTTTATCTAGTTGCCAATTGCCTACAGAATATTTAGATGCTTTACAAAGGTCTAAACCTGAGAAGAAAACTGCTGTCAAGCACAAAGATTCTTTTGGTCGACAATTTCAGAAATTTCATGCAAGTTGGTGGAATGAAGCTCGAAGGGTGGCTGAAGACATTGAGGAACGAATAAGGAATGAACCAGATATTGATTTGAGGTATTATGACATATATATTAGTCTTTCCTGTTTATTAAACCAGGAATTTTAAATATTTATGTTTATATTTTATTTTCAGTGTTAGACTAATATGATGTTTTTGATAGTACATACTGTCAGTTTGCAGTTCTTTGTAGCATAAAAATCACTTATTTAATATCTGTTGTTAGAATTCAGCTTTTACTTTTTGCATTACATCTTATGCAACATTTGGTTGAATTTAAACATTCTTCTTCCTATCATATAAATGATAGCAGTGTAGTGTACTAAATAAAAAGATGTCTTCGAATGCAAAATGTATTTTATTTAATTTATAATGAACTTGTATTTTTATAAACCTTCAGCTTCTACAATTAATGCTAATTTCTATTGTGATTTATATTTTATGATTAAAATTATCTATTCTGTTCTTTTTATGAGTTCAAGTTCTTTTTCTTTCTTTTCGTTATTTTCCTTCAAATGCCAAAAACCTGGAACATATTGTCATGAGAAAAAACATTAAGTAATATAGATTCGGGTACTTTTCCTTTATCTGCGCGCAAATCTGGCAATCGTATCTCATAATGTTTTGGCAACCATTTTTATTCTAAAAATTCTCTTTGAATCTCTCATTGTTTGGTCTCACCATGTGGCTCTTTGAATTACCATTCACTGAAAAAGGTTCAGTAGAATATTTCTACCAGTGTGGAATTCTCTCAAGTAGTCTGAAATGTTCAAATCTTCATGATATGAATCTTGATAGTGTGGCAAACAGTTACCACTTGAAATAAACACTAATTGACATGAGCAACATTCCTTCTACTCTTTTTATAATCAAATTTATTTGTTTCATTGTCATATTATTAATTATGTGTTATTATTATTATCATATTATTTGCTCTTACGATTTTAACGATTTTGCGGGCAGATAAAGGAAAAGTACCTATATTTGATACTTTTTATTTGTACCAAAGAATTTTTAATAAGCTTCTGTATTATTCATCTTTTTACTTGGCAATAAATTTCCCACAGAATGTTGAGTTGCATCTTTCCCAAAGTATTCCAAAGAAAGGAAATTTTGAAAGATGGAAAAAGCATTAGCTGCTGAAATGGAAAAAGTGAGATGCCAATCTATCTCCATCATTGAAAATTTTTGCTTCAAAGATGAACTAAAAACATCTCAAACGAGGAGGTGGTGGGTTGTGCAAATTCAGATTGTGATATGACCTTTATTTCTGTAGAGTTCGGAGAAAATGTGCCAAGTTGTATATCTGTGACTAGCAAATATAGTGAAAAAGTTGGAAAAAAATGTGATGGTAAACCATCTTCGTCAATGAAAATTTTTTGCGAGCTGAGACAAAAATTTTGGCTTCAAAGAAGAACTAAAAACATTACCAAAAGTGGATGTGGCTAATTCAGATTGTGATTGTGATATGACCTTAACCTGCACAAATTCAGATTGTGATATGACCTTAAATTCTGTAGACTGTGGAGAAAAATGCCGAAATAGTATATCTGTCATTAACAAGCAGGGCTGGGGAGTCGGTAGGCAAAATGACCGACTCCTGGAATTTTAAAGACTCTGACTCTCTCATATATATTTTAATAGATACACATGGGTTACAGCTTATTTTTTGTAATATAAAAGAAGTAATAGATGCTACAGAAAAAATTGATGTATAGTACATTTTTTTATTAATTAGCAAACTGGCATTAGTAAAAAACTGGAATTAGTAATTTCTAAGAATGAGTATAACTTCGGCAAGATCTTCTTTGTTAGAGGACCATAGATCCGATTTGATAAACTTCAGAACTGAGAAGAGTCTTTCCATACTGACTTGAGTAGGAGGAAGAGCTCTTACTGTTACTACTTCCTTTAACTTTTCAGGATTGATTTTTATAAGTTCTAAAAGTGGTGTCTTGCAAGAGCAATCATATTTCTCTATTTCTTCTCAATTCCAATTTCTTTCTCTTCTGCTGTGTATAAATTATGTTTGTATTTTTTCATTTTTATATCTAAAGGTTCTTGTTTTTTATTTTCATTGATTTTGACTTAGCCTTTTCGATATTATTCAAAGATTTCTCAAAATCTAATTCATCAGTGGAAGAAGGATGATAGAGACTCAGTTGCAATGTCTGCAGTTTGATTGTCCTGATTTGAATACTCCAGTTGTTCTGAGAATAATTTCAGTTTTAATGAAAGTTCACAGATGGCTTTCTTTGCCTTTTTTAATTTGTTCGTCATCCAACAAAATTCAGCGTTTTGTATATACATATATTGAACCCAGCAAGATCTTATTGTCTAGCAAACTAGTTTCTCTCAAACTAGCTCTTCATTAAAGAAATGTTTCCTTCTGCAATAAACCCTCCATTTCAGGAAAAAAAAAAAAAAAAAATCACATTCTTTCATTCTTGCCTCCTGTTAATTCTTCGAAAGTGTTAAGGTTATCTACATCTTATAACATTCTTGCCTCTTGTTACTTCCTCGGATTGTAGCTTTCTTGTGGCTATATACGATGTTGAAAGAAGAGTTTCCAATTCTGCAGGATCGTTCCTCAGTCTTTCTGTTAGTGAAACATTAGGGTTATCCACATCTTCTGAAAAAGTTCTTAATTCTAACAACATTCATATCATCAAATATGTACTTCTTCATCGTGCTGCTTGATCAATAATAGCTCCTTTTCCTGCTCGCTTCCTAAGAATGGCATCAATTTTGAGAGTTCTTGCTGCTTACCTAAATTTACCAATGAGTTATGTAACTAAATGAATCAGTTTAATCAACAATGGCAAATATCACGTCCATCCCGCTCTCTTATATTTATTTATTAATATGTTAATATATTTAGTCCATAAATAAAATAGAAATAAATAATCAATAAAATAGAATAAATAGTCAATAAATAGAAAATGTCAATTTATATAGTCCATAGATAAAAATATTAACTCAGTTTGTCATTAAATTTTTTTTTCAATTCACTTTAATTTCATTTGAAATTCAAACTGTCCAATAAAAACTGGAGTCTGAGTCGACGTGTTTTTAGCGACTCCACAGCCCTGCTAACAAATACAGTCAAAAGTCTTTAATCTGGACTCGTAGGGACTTCGGCGATTCCGGATTATAGATCATCAGTTTAAATCTGGTAAGATGGCATACAGAAATTACAAAATAAAAAATATGAAACCGTAATTTATGAAATAAAGAGTAATTATGATCTAAAGAGTATCAAAATTTACAAAAAAAAAAAAAAAAAAAAAAAAAAAAAAAAAACTTAATATTTATTTGTTTACTTTATTAAACATTTCTTTCAACGTGCGCATGCGTAAAGCATACATTACACATAGTCAAAATTAGAAAATTGCAACCAGAAAATTATTTGATGTGTACTCGTGATATTTATAATGACGAAGAATTTGATTTAAATCATATCAAAGACGGAATACATAAAAGATGAAATACTACAATACTACATTTAGTAAGGAATTATAAGCCAAATAAAATAAAAACATCTGCCCTGAAGATAAGGATAGTGCTGACAGATCAACTTCCAGTTCATTGCATGCTGCGACGTGCCCACCCCCCGCACGCAGAGCAGCGGGAAATTGATAAACAGATTTCGAAATGGTTAGAGAAAGAAAGGAGACTTTTGAGGTACGTGCGAGTAACGCGTGCCTACAAAAGTATAGATAACCTTACCTAGAAAATAGTAATCTGGCATTTAACATTAAGAATTAGATTTAATAAGGAGAAGTAATATGGATACATAATACTGGCTTAAGGAAGCGTACATTCCCAACACAGATTGCAGTTACCTATCATGTGGAAGGCACAAGACGAGTTTTTTCACAGATGCACACACACAGACTGAAGTCGTTACCCAGAACTGCAGGGGAAAATTCTTCTCTTCCTGTCAGCCCATAGGGTTGTCAAGCAAGTTTACTGTTTCACCAATTGGCGCTTTTCTCCAGAGTTTTTGAGTCTGTATCGCCTGTTTGGCGCTGCCGCTACATACTCCCTCCGCAGTGTCAACGAAATGTGACATACCGATGCGGGAGTCGGATTAATCGTCCATAACGGGGGATACAAATATCCGAAGGTTTTTTTTTTAACACTCTTGGCAACAACTTGGGAAGAGTCCATGGTTACAAAAGCGGGTTTCAGTCTATCTATGGAGATTGCTTGCTTAGTCCCTTTTACTTCGAGATCAAACGTTTCATCTCGTCTTTCTAGCACTTTAAATGGTCCATCATAAGGAGCTTGCAGTGGTTTTCTAACTCCGTCGTGTAGAACAAACACATGCGTGGATTCGTGAAGCTGTGGATGAACGAAACAGGTTCGCTGACCGTGGCTAGAAGTCGTGGTCGGGCGGACACTAGCAAAATGGGATTTTAAATCCTCCACAAACTGTTTGGGGGACGTGTCCATAGGTGTCGAATTGAAAAATTCTCCTCGGAGACAAATCGTCTTTCGATACAAAAGTTCAGAAGTGGTTGCTCCTATGTCCTCCTTGAGAGCGGAGCGGAAACCCATCAGAAGCGTTGGAAGAGCCGCCACCCAGTTACTGGTATCATAAGCTTTTAAGACAGCTTTCAAAGGACGGTGGAATTCTTCGATAAGTCCATTCGGCTGTGGGTGGTACGGAGACGTCCTGATCCTTTTTATTCCCAACAATTGGGAAAGGGCTCGAAATAAGCCGCTTTCAAACTTTCGCCCTTGGTCAGTAGTAATAACAGCTGAACAACCAAATCGAGCAATCCAATGGTCATAGAAAGCCTGTGCTACTGTGCATGCAATAATATCTGGTATGGGTACTGCTTCGGGCCATCTAGTAAACCTATCTGTCATAGTTAAACAGTAATAATTATTTTGAGAAGGAGGTAGCGGACCAACGAGGTCAATGTGGACGTGATCAAATCTCTCTGATTGGTCTGGACACTTCATTAATGGGGTTATAGTACGTCTGCTTATTTTTGCTCTTTGACATGGAATGCACTGTCGTGCCCATTGTGCGCAATCTTTACGG